GGGATATTTACTGTATAAAATACTGATGCTTTATCTCAAGCTTATCCAACCTGCAAATTGCAGGCTGCATGCAACCCTGGATGGCTCTGAATGTGGCCCAACACAAATTCATATACTTTCTTAAAATATTATAAAGATTTTTTTGCAATTTTAAAATATTTTTTAGCTCATTGGCTATCATTAGTATAAATATATTTTACGTGTGGCCCAAAAGAATTATTCTGCCAATGTGGCCCAGGGAAGCCAAAAGATTGGATGCCCCTTGTTTAAGGTCTCCAAACCCATCTGAAACTTGCAAGGACCTCTGGATGGTACACATCACTGAAATTCACATTACATACAAATTTTTTTCATGGATTTATCAGGAAAGTAGTATTCAAAGGAGACTCAAAGAGAATACAAAAATGGGTGTGGAAGCAAAATCATTTGCATAGGGTTTTCCCATTCGTTTTATTCAAATGTGTATGTAATTGTACACTTAAAAATTAAGCTCCCTTTTCAGAGTTTGTTACTATAAAGAAAAAGATTCATGGTGACAGTTTGAGGATTATAGTAATTTTTTTATTTCTCCATTATCTTTATTTCCAGGACCATCAAGGTGGTACTTCTATAACTCTGCAAGAACAACAGCATTACCGAGCCTAGGGCGCCCCCTAAAGCAGGTACAGCTTAGATCACAATATCAAGTTCTATGAAATAGCTGAAAAACTTCACAAGAACAAGTACAAATAGGCGCAGACAGTGAAGACTAGCATAAACATCTAACTCTTCAATGCCCAGACACCGAAGAACATCAAGGGCATCAACAGCATCCAGGAAAGCACGATGTCAACAGATTAACTAAAGGCAGCACCAGGGACCAATCTTGGAGAAACAGAGAGATCTAACCTTTCAAACAGAAAATTCAAAATAGCGCTGTTGAGGAAACTGGACTAAATTCAAGAAAACACAAACAAGAAATCCAGGATTGTATCAGATAAATTTAACAGATTGAAATTATTAAAAAACGATCAAGCAGAAATTCTAAAGCCAGAAATGCAATTGGCATAATAAAGAATGCATCAGGGTTCTTTAAGAGTAGAATGGGCCGGGTGCGGTGGCTCAAGCCTGTAATCCCAGCACTTTGGGAGGCTGCGGCGGGTGGATCACGAGGTCAAGAGATCGAGACCATCCTGGTCAACATGGTGAAACCCTGTCTCTACTAAAAATACAAAAATTAGCTGGGCATGGTGGCGCGTGCCTGTAATCCCAGCTACTCAGGAGGCTGAGGCAGGAGAATTGCCTGAACCCAGGAGGCGGCGGAGGTTGCCGTGAGCCGAGATCGCGCCATTGCACTCCAGCCTGGGTGAAAAGAGCGAAATTCCATCTCAAAAAAAAAAAAAAAAAAAAAAAGAGTAGAATGAACTAAACAGAAAAAAAGAAATAGTGAGCTTGAAGACAAGCTATTAAAAAAAAAAAAAAACAGTCAGAGGAGACAAAAGGAAAAAGAAAAAACTGTGGGATCTAGATAATACTGTCCAAAGGTCAAATCTAAGGGGTACTGGTCCTAAAGAGGAGGTAGAGAAAGAGATAGGAGAAAAAGGTTTATTTAAAAGAATAATAGCAGAGAACTTAACAAACCTGGAGGAAGATATTAATATTCAAGTAGAGGAACATTATAGAACACCAAAGAGAGTTAACTCAAAGATGACTACCTCAAGGCCTTTAATAATTAAATAGCCAAAAGTCAAGGATAAAGCAAGGATCCTAAAAGCAGCAAGAGAAGAGAGACAAACAACATACAATGGAGCTGCAATACATCTACAAGCAGACGTTTCATGGAAATCTTACAGAAATGATGGTATTTTATTATTGCTGATAAAGAGAACAAACTACACAAATAAACAGCTAGCACTGTCAATATTACAGTCACAAGAAGGTAACAATTTAAATAATGATTAGTCTAGTTATCTGTGTTGCAAATATTAATAAATAATAGGAATACAACTTTGAAAGTATTTTAAGACCTTGCAGCTTCGATGCCCTTTTAGAATAGGAGAATTGGATAGGGAAAATATTACGAAAGAAACGCCAAAAACTGTTTTAAGAACTGCTAAAATAGAATTCTTAGAACCATGAAGCTCAAATTATCTTTAGTAGGGCAGAAAAACAGCATTAAAAAAAACTATGATGAAAACTTCTATGACATCATAATGAAACTCTCTGACAATAAAAGGGAAGAGAAAACTATAAAATTTTCTAGAGGAAAAATGAAGGAGGGTCAAATTATCTAACAATAGATTCTCTATCTCAACAATGAAAAACCAAAGAAATTAGAGACATTTTCAATGTGCTGAAAGAAAATCACTGTGAATCTAGAATTCAATTACTAGTGGAAATATCTTTTAAGAATGAGAGGGAAATAAAGACACTTTTCTGAAAGAAATCCAAAGTGAACAATTTTACTACCAACATTTTAGAACAAAATTATAAAGAATACACTAAGTTGAAAGGAATGGGACTGATATGGTAAATTGAATAAAAATACAGATTAAAGAATTTAAAAAGTAAATACGGGACAAATATGCATTGATATTAACTATAGGCAATAATAATGTCTTCAGGTGTTAAAATGAGACAGAGCTGAAATACACAATAATGCTATAATTTGGAACATAGAGTGTGGAGCTAACATTTGTAAAGCCATTTTATATTATAGAGAAGGATGTAAGTAGATTGATTAGCTTCAGGTTCTAGTAAGTTATATCTCTGTAATTTTATGGGATCTGAAAAGGAAGAGAAGCAGAACATGGGGCTTATCAGTTGATGTTATATTCCCTAGAATTCAGTATTTCTGTTCACACCATTGTTCCTTTTTGCTATTGTTGTTAGTGTTTTTACTTCGCATCTTTGGCCAAACTATCCTTCTCACTCATCAATAACAAATAGAACAGTCAACAAATGAACCAGTTATCTTGCCTTTTGAGTGACAAAACTCGGAGGCATTTTTAAACAGCATTTCCAACAGGTCCCCAGTTCAAGTCTCCTCAGCAGTGCTATGCACGGTAACAGTGCCCCACCTTTTTTGACTTTCTTCTCTTCCTGTGTCACTTCTTTGTTATCCTACAAGTTTTTCTTTATTATTTCCCACATAAACTCCTAACACATTCTAGTCTCAAGAAATGATTTTGGGAGAACCCAACCTATGGGAAATTTAACCAAGAACAGGAAAAAAATCACATAAGAAATACTAAAACACCTAAAAGTGGTAAGAGAGGAAAAGGAACACAGACTTGAAAGGAAAAAAATTGATTTTACTCAAATATGTTTGTTAAGGACATCAAATAAAAAATTGAGTATTTCAATCTAAAGGTATGTTACTACACAAGTAAACAACATATTCTATAAAACTATAAAGAATATTATCAACTAACATTTCTTAATGAATATTTAAACCAGACCTTAGGCCATTTGTTGGGCCAAAAATTAAAATATCTTGATAAATGTCACAGGATTTTAATATTCTCAGATTATATTCTGTTATCCAGATGAAATGTAATTAAATTAGAATTTAATAACAATGTGATTCTAGGAAAACGTTAAGTATTTGCAAATAAACAACATATATTTAAATAATTTTTAGGCCAAAGAACAGATAGCACAAGGAATTGGGTAACTGTAAATGGAAAACTACAAAAATATAACATAAAGTACTTCAGATGCTTACATGATAAAACAAAATATATTTTAAAAGAATAATCAAAGATTCTAACTCATGAAGGTAGGGAAAAAAGAGAAAATTAACCCAAAACTTAAGGAAAGGAATAATAAAGGTAAGAAAGAGAATCAATGATATAATCAAAATAAATTCATAGAGAAAAGAAACACAGCCAAAAGCTTAATAAAATTGATAAATTTTTAGTGAGAGAGAGAAAACTAATTACAATCAGAAATAATTCTACAAGCCACAAAAATTGAAAGTATAACAAAGGACTATTAGGAAAAATGTTATGCCAATAATATTTTTCAGATGAACAAAGCAAACTAAATATGACTCAGAAATTAAGATGTATAAATAGCACTGCATCTATTAAATTCATAGTAAAAATCATTTCCAAAATCAAAATCAAAATTTAGACTGCTTTGCAAGTGAATTCTATTGAATATTTACATAAGAAATAGTACTAATATTAAAAAAAAATAATCTGCAGAGAAATTTATTTAAGAGACACTTTCCAACTCATTTTAAGAGAAACATATAGCACAGATACCAAAAGTTGATAAAGACATTGCCAAGAAAATTAAACTGTAACTAGTATCATGCTTCAAATTAGAAATAAAAATGCTTCCATAATATTGACAGTGACAGAAGGCAGTTGGACACCCAAGAAAATAGGGGCAGGTCCTTGGTGAAACTTACCTCCAAGCTGAAGACAGTTTAAAGCCTGAAAGCTGTGCTACAAGTATGATCCACAGACTAGACTGAGAACCTGTGTTTTCATTTGGTGTGCTTTCCTCTGATTGATCCCCACGCTTCACCTAGTTTACAAATACCTACTCTTTCCTAATTGGTTTTCTCCTGAGCTGCAGCTGGAGATCACTGGTTGCTTCACAGGAATATCATTCAGTTTCAAATGCAGACAACAACAACTAAAGAGACTAGAATTTCATGACAAGTGTACAATAAGTTTTGAAACTTAATTTTTCTCTCTCTGGTCTTTATTCTGGTTAAAAACAAATCATGTTGGGACTGAGTGGTTTGCAAAATAAACTTTAGTTTTTTACTTAATCTAATTATTTGCATAAAGTGCAGCAAAAATAATTATTTTTTACATAGGCCTTTAAAATTGGCTTTGATGGAACTCTCTTGACAAGAATTTCAGATAAGACCTTTTAAAGCCGAGCCTAGCCATGGGTTTATATCCTCCAACACTTATGAGTTGGGTTAATTTCTCTCTTCTGGAGATCCTAAGATAGCATGTGGCTCCTGAGCCTGTTAGAAAGTGACATTCTTTACTTACCATGTGTTAGGAATCCTGTTCAGGGACTGTGTAGGCAAGTTATGAGGCTGTTTTTCCCAAGGGGTTTTTATTGACTCTGCAATTCAGGCTTGATCCCCTAAAGGAAAGCACACCATTCCAATCAAAGCCTTGGTAAAAGAACCAGTTTCTGCACTTACATCTTGTTGCAAAATAAAATGGATTCTATTGCACTAATGCAAATAACTATACTGCCATAAGTTAAGAATACTCACAAATAGTTTCCAAATTCTAGAGGAACCAGGCGAAAAAGAAATATGCTGCAAATTTTGTTCACAGGAGTATACCCTGTTCAATTGTTGAAAGCTGTAGACAGCATAAAAGAAATTTTCTTGACTCTGAAAAACAAAGAAGAACCAGCAATGTTTTAAACAGTAAGTTAAAAAGATCACTTCAGTTTTCTGTTAGTTCCATCCATTTAACTAGTGTTCTATTTGATATTCATGAGCATTTTAGCTCTTCATGAATCCTGTACATTTTTCGTTTATTCCAATGTCACGATCTTCAAAGACATCAGAATCTGCATTTAAGAGCACCTGTCAAAGTCCTATAGCTGATTATAAACCATCTTTTTAAAAAGATCAAAACAAGACAATGATTATCTGTGAATAACAAAATATTTTTGGGTGGTCACACTCAAAAACATGATTGACAAAGACATTTGGTTATTTTTGTGGTTTACAGTAACTTAACATAACTTCAGTTATGAAAGTTAGCACATATTCAGACATAATTTTAGAAATCCCATACCATTTTAGAAAATTTATTAATAGTATTTACTGAACTGTAACCTGAAAACAATTAATCATTATTTTTATTTTAGATTCCATGTAACTAACATGTCAAATAATTTGGTGTACCCCTTTTTTGGACACTCCATCCTTTCTTATAATCTTTTACTAAAAATACCTTTTACTCCTTACACATCTTTCATGTAAATCTATTTTCAGCAGTCTCTATTACAGATTATAATGATGACTCTTACCAATTTTTAATTTTAATGTAAAACCTGGTATGTTATTTTAATTATGTATTAGACACAGATAAGGTCTGAGTCTTTTAAGCATAGTTAAGGGCATGGTTATTTCTTTATGTCCCCAGGCCTCGGCAAACTGTAAAGCAGGCAAGTTGAAAAATCTTCAAAAGTCAAAGAAGCAGTTTATGACCTTAAAGCATTTAGCAAATATATTATATGAACATAATTTAGACCACATATTTACATTTTGAAGACATTTGTATTTTACCAATAATCTATAAAACTGTTTAAGATTAAAACATGTGAACTAAAAGACATTACAGCTTTTATTTTCCTTAAAAATATTTGAGGTAAGCACTTATATATCTTTAAGCCAATTAATTAGAGCTTTTTTTAATATAAGCCTCACAAACATAACACATATATAACTACATGGACAGAAGAAGTTTCAGTAGTTTTAAGGTTTTTTTCCATCTGCCAAACTCCTAAGGGGATTATCGGCCTCAGGGTGAAACCCTTCAAGAAACAGAGCTAGAAAAATATGCAGTTTCTAAAGTCTAATAAGCAAATATGTCTGGAAGACAAAAACAGATTTTTAAGGATCTATCTGCTTTTAATTCCTGGGGTTCCACGAGGAAAACAGAGGTTTTGTTTGTTTCTTTCTTTGTTTTTCCCCAAATAGAATCTGTGGTGCCCTTTCTGTTTATCCCAAGAAGTTATCTTAGGGCCTTTCATGCATGCGTTAAGAGCAGCAAGACAAAATGGAGAAAAATAATTCAGTTAACTGAGAAGAAAAAATACTTTTCCAGCAAAACAAGATCTAAGAAGAGAAAAGATATAGAGACCTTTTAAATATATCTATGGCCTGGATATCCACTTTGAATCAAGCTGATGTTCAACAATATCACGCTTTCAAAAAAATCCTTTTAAATCCCTAATTACCAAAGTTTAGCCAAACCAAGTGGCCAATATTTCTGGCTTTTGACATTTACTGAAATAATCTCAAGGTAAAACCAACAAGCCTCAAAAAAACGTTCTGGGAAAAAATCACCAATGGAACTGAGCAAATCTCTTTAGGAAGGACCCTATGACAGTATGCAAATAACCTCTTTGTCTGCTTCCCCTTAAAAGAACCCAAGGGTCAAAAAGGAAACCAGAAGCCTGACTTGGTGGCAAAAGGGTAAAGTTGTTTTTTTTTTTAACCAGTCTGACGTTGCCTCACTCTCTCTGTGAAAAGTGGATGTAGGAATGGTAAAAATCACAGTTTATATCCTCTCTAGAGTTTTGATTAATGGACAGAGGATTTTTGAGATTCTGGCATAAGAAGGAAGACCTTAAAACAGAACATAGGCCTAGGCTCCCATAAGCCTGCCCTACAAACTGGTTAATAACAAACTTTGCTACAGATCCCTGAAGAAAAAAAGAAAAGAAAGAAAAGAAAAACAAAACAGAGGAGATCTCCATTTTGCATTTTTATTTATTTATTTTTTAAGCCAAGCAGTTTAAAGTTTGGGGAACTGAAACTTTTCCCTGAGGAAAGTGTCCTGTGATAAAGAGTTGCAATTCTCCATCCATGAAGAGAGGACAGAGGAAATAACAGAAAAAATGGTTTTTTTTTTGTTGTTTTTTTTTTTAAAGGAGTCCCAGTGATTCAGGATACATGATGTATTTAAAGAGAAGTACGGACGGAAGGTGGCTGGTTACTCATCTGGAAAGAGAGTAAAAAGGCATCCCTTAATTCTTTCCGCTTCCCAGTGAATACCCAGGATGTGTGAGGAAGAGAAAAAAAGGCATCTCCTTTATTCTGCCTTTGTATCCCCAAGTCCTGGCAACCTCAGCAGGGTGCCACCCATGTTACCAAGAGGCCTGGGGGTAGGAATTATCTGCACTCCCCTATGCACTGGCATACACCCCCTGCTGTTGAAGCACAGAACACCTAACTGGGAAGGAAGAGGTGTTTTTTATTATTACAGCAGGGAGCTAGGTGACAATTTGTCTGAATGACCAAGCTCCTCTAACAAAGAGAAGCTCTGCCTTTATATAGGCTTACACTCTAGATATACACATCAAAGAATCTTAGGTTCACAGCCTTAGAAATTACAAGTGAAAGCATCTTGGGTTTACAGTTTCAGAAATCACATATTAAAGCGTCTTGGGTTTATATAGCCTTAGAAATCACATATGGAAGGGTCTTGGTCAATGGAGGAGTAGGGTGAGGGTTTGATCTTGTTTAAGTAAAAACAATGTCTTCTGGAGAGATTCCCCCACACCATGCCAGCTATTTACAGGAAAGTGATTCAGGAGGTGCCAGTCGGCCAGCCTTTTCTTCTACTGAAATGCAGTGTGGAGGTCAAGGGGGAGGTGATCCCAGATGCCTGGGTCTCCTTCCTCAGTGTCAGTAACCATATTTATACCATGGGCACAGGCATAACCTCCACCCATGAAATGATGGAAGGAGGACTGTAATCAGCAAGAATCAGTCATGCTCACCTGTGCTGTACCCCTTCACTTCCATTGTCATCTGCCTCTGGATCCCTCAACCCAATTTTCCTTTCTAGGGCTAAAGCCATAGAAGCTTGGAATTGAGTTTGGGACAAAGGTGTGTCTCAGCAGGGTGTAGAGATTCATTAAATTAAATCCCAGGTGACCCTTCTTATCATAAGCCAAATGCTGTGTTGAAGCTGCGGAACTGAGATCTCCTCAAAAAAGGGAGAGAAAAGGGAGACCCATGAATTGGGGTCCTGGACCAGTAAGAGGCCTTCCAATGTGAAACAGTATCTCCCCATAGAAAAGCTCTCTGTATTTGCGGGGTTGTGTTAACACCTGAAAAAGTGGAGAAAAAGAGAAAAAATAAAGAAAAAAAAAAACAGCTTAAGTGCAGGGGAGGGGTAGGTGCCTAGGGGAAAAAGCCTCTTACTCCATGCAGATGAATTCCTTCAACAACAACAACAAACAACTTTTATTTGCTATGTCCTTTCTGCTTCTAATACATGCAAAGTGCACTGTTCTGACTGCACATCTCTAATGGCTGGTCAAATGCTCATTCTGCTCAATAATATCACCGTGGTTCCCAACATCACCCCCAATATTGTAGAGGAAAAGATAGGTGCTATCATGAGCATGAGAGGAGGAGGAAGATGCCACATTTGCTCATCATTTCTCAGCTCCCAGACAAAGCCCCCAGAAAATAACACAGGATTTTTCTCGACCACTCTGGGGTGCTCCATGGCTGGCAATGCCCCCTAACCCTGCCCCGGCCTTGCTTGGCCTCAGGCCTACTGCTGGAGGTGCCCCACCCACTCAGCCAGCCTGAGTTATAGTTTGTACCCACATCCAAGAAGAATGAGGATACAGTGACATCTCAAAGTGTGAGAAGGGTGGAGAAGGATTTTATTGAGCCACAGAACAGCTCTCAACAGGGAGGGGATGTGGGGGTTGCTCTCCCACCCACACAGTCGGGTGATTTCTTTGCCAGTGTGGCTGAGTTTGGGGCTTTTATGGGCTCAGAATAAGGAAATGAGTGCTGATTGGTTTGTGAGCATGCAAAAAAGATTAAAGCAAAGACACCACTCAAAGCTGGCTATGACAGTATCAGAAAACATTTCGGGAAGTGCAGGTATATATAAAATAGGTGAAGGTGGGGACCAATCAAAGAAAGTGTGTCAAACAAGAAGGCAGGTTCTCAATCTGGTACATGCATTTTATCTGTAGTTTGGCTTTCAGGTTCTAAACTGTCTTCCTCTTAGAGGTGGGGTTTCAAAGGGGACCTGCCCTTATCTTCCTCCAATAAATGGTAATTGTCAAATGAAAACTATTTCTATATTAATTCGTGTTATAACAAAATAGCACAGCCTGAAAAATTTACAAATAACAGAAATTTATTTCTCACATTTCTGGAGACTGAAAACCCAAGAAAAATTGCTGGTAGGATTAGTGTCTGGTAAGGGTCCAGTCTTTGCTTCCAATATGTTGCCTTATTGCTGCATCTTCCACAGGGGAAGCCTATGTCCTCACAGGGAGAAAGGCTATAAAGAGCAGGAGAGTGCTCCTTTTAACCTCAAGCCCTCCTCTTAAATGGGTGTTAATTCCATTCGTGGGAACTGAGTGGAGACCTCATAATTAAATCACCTCCCAAAGGTCACACCTTTTAATGCTGTTGCATTGGGGATGGAGTTTCAACAAGAATTTTGAAGGGGACCCCATCATTCAAACCACTGCAATATTCTGTCACAGTAAATACCTTTTCCTCTACTCTCAGCCCGTCAAATCTTACTTAAGTCTTCATTCTCAAGCATACCCTTCAAATTTACAATTTCCTTTCTTTTTAATTAGCTGTACTTACTGCCTTTACACATAGTTGTG